AGAACTAGAAAGGCGAGGCTCACCACCCATTTATCCCTCTGCCTTTCAATTAGCCCCACATGTGTTTATCGGCCAGGTTGCCACTATTAACTAACTCAGGTAGGTTGCGAGGACCCTCCTTATGAGAAGGGCACACCCACAAGGAGTCATCATGCTGCTACCTGATTGACAGGCTAAATTCCATCCCTATATTTTTATATATCTTCAGGTTGACATGAAATTATGTAACTACCACAAATGGCAATTAATTATAATCCCAGATTTTAAAAATTCATTATACAGCTAAGCCATGTTTCATTTCTACCTACCATTAAGTATTGCAACTTTGCTTCTCTGTTTCTTGATCCAAGTGTAGGACTAGTCATTTTCTTCTGATAAATTTAATTTGTTACAAGGGAACAACAAATGATCCAAAATCAATGGCAAGGAGAGTGTAGGAGGCCTGGTAAGGCTTGATTAAGGGCAATGTAACCAGGAGGAATTAATGAAACCCAAACGAAGGCTAAACATGATAGTGGGACCAGAGGAAAGTAAAAGGAAATAGAGGAAAGATCTAGGAGGCAAAGGGCATTTACAGAGGTCTAAATACAGGCCTGTACATATATAAATATATATGAAAGTGGGGGAATAGATCTATGTGCATGTATTTATAGGTTTAGTATTAAGATAGCAGATGGACATTGGGCCTCTACTCAAATATTCCTCAACACAAGAACACTTTGTTCTATTAAACTGGCATTCCATGATGCTCACCTTTCCAACATGAACGCTGAAGACTAAAGCAGGTGCATAAGCAAATGTGATGAAGAAAGCTGATGGTGTCCGGCTGTCAAAAGATACAGCGTCTGGGGTTTTAGAGGCTTGATAAATAAGCGGCCATCTAGCTGAGAAGCAACAAAGCCCACATAGAAGAAGCACACCAGCCTGTGTGATCACAAGGTGTCGATAGGATCAGGCATCAAAGAACAAAAAATATCATTGTGAATGAGGGGGAGTGCAGAGTGGAGACTCAAAGCCCATCTGTAGGCAACTGGACATTCCCTTACAGAAGGATCACAGGGAGGAGACAAGCCAGTCAGGGTGCCATATAGCACTGACAAAACATACACACTTCCTCTAGTTCTTTAATGCTTCCTCACTCCCACCCCCACCCCTACCCAATATCATGATCCCAATTCTACCTTACAAATCTGGCTACACCAGAGGATTTACACTGGTACTGATTAGAGCTGGAAACGCAGGGAATCCAGGACAGATAAACCTCTCAGGACCAATAATGAGAGTAGCAATACCAGAAGGGGAAGAGGAAGGTGGGGGAGAAAGGAGGAACTTATCACAATGATCTACCTATAACCCACTCCCTGGGGGACGGACAACAGAAAAGTGGGTGAAGGGAGACATCAGGCAGTGTAAGATGTGACAAAATAATAACAATTTATAAATTATCAAGGGTGAATGAGGGAAGGAGGGAGGGGAAAAATGAGGGGCTCAAGTAGAAACAAAATGTTTTGAGAATGATGACAGCAAATGTATAAATGTGCTTGACACAATGGATGTATGTGTGGATTGCGATGAGTTGTACAAGCCCCAATAAAATGTTTTTTTTTTTAATTTAATCTGTTAAACCTAAAGAACCGGTGCCTTGACTTACTGTGCTCCTATTGTATTGCAGAAGAACTGAATTTAAAACAAACAATAAGCTTCAGTAGGGCAGTTGTTAAATTTTAAAATCATGAGATGATGTTAAGGCTATTAATAGAATATATATTTTAAAATATATATGACATATACACATGATAGCACTTCGTACTTCTGTGAAAACCCACATGGTCATGTCTGTTCTGTCCAATGGGGTCTCTAAGAGTGGAATTGGCTTGATGACAGTGAGTTTTATACAGATGAATAGATAAATAAAACTAATAGAATGCCTTTTTTTTCAGCTGAGCTCATGATTATTCAAAAAACAAAAACTCTAGGGTTGATATTTCATAAACAGTACTAGATATTTTCTGATTCAGATAATTAGCCTAAACAAAATAGTTCTTTTAAAAACTGCTGGGAATTGGAAGCGCAGGGAATCTAGGACAGA